CGGGTCGCTGCCCCGCCGTGGCCGCCTGTGGGTGAGGTCACGTGCAGTAGAGCAGACCCACGGCCAGCTGCGTGTCCAGCCCTCGCCTGGGAGCCGTGGGCTCTGGCGGTGGTGGGCAGCGCGGCAGCTCACCGGTGGGTGTCGGAGACTCTTTGTCCCCGATCACGGATTATTGGGGGGCAGAACAGGCAGGGTCTCAAGGAAGGAACGGTGTCTGCGAGCGGAGATTCCTAGAAAAAGGGGAAAAGGGAAAAAAGGGGAGCAGGCGCGAGGAAGACACGGGAATGGGAGCTGGGTGCAAGTCTTCGGCTCTGCCTTCAGCAGAGGTTTATTTTATACACTTCCGGCAGGCAGAGGTTAAAATCAATCTATCACGCTACATAGATTTGCAAAGTTTAAGACTAATATTACTATATTTACCACAGTGAAGGTTAACCACAATAAAGTCCCTGAAACATTACTTAAGGGCTTTCATTCTCATAGAGACATCCTAGGGGGTAAAGTGAGGGCTGGAAGAGGAAATTTCTTGTAAATCAAATTAAAGTAAGGTTCTTTGAAAAACTTGTTAGAAAGTTGAAGTGAGTTTTCTTGAAGTCTAGATGGTAGAAAACCTGATTAGCTCTGCATAGGCGACTTGGGTGAATTTCCATATCCAAAGACTAGATAGTAGGAAGCTGGAGTGGATCTTTAGAAACTGAATAGAAGGCTCCTTGAGATGGTAGAGTGATAAGGTTTGGGTGTATTCCCCCGCCACCCCCCTGTCTTGGGGTGACAGAGACTTTGCAGTAACAGCCATTTGTTTTTATTAATCAGCCAATTGTTTAATGACTTTTGACTTGGAGAGGAATGTCTCACCCTGGTGCAGTCCTTGCTTGTCAGGGCAGGCAGCGCCTTCTGAGGCTGCGGCAATCCAATTGTAAACTGAAGGTTGCTCAGAATATTTTGATATTACGATTATACCAAAAAGGGAGGTCACAGCATAAGTTAGCGTGGAAAGTCTGATTTTTCAGAGCAATTCCCCTCCATCTGGAATACGTCAGTCGATAGAGGTTGCCTAGCTTGTGTCAGGTGGTCACGTGCCAGCAGGGCTTCCAGCGTCCACACGTGAACTAGTTGAACTTGAGGCAGAAGTGAATCTGATTTGAACTGGCTGAAGGCGAGGAAACTCTTTGGTCGGGGCCGGGTCTGAGAGACGCTTCATGGCGCGGCCACCGCAGTATCACCTGTTGCTGCGTGCCCAGTCCTCCAGTGCCGCTGCCCGGGCGGGAGGGCTCGCCCACGCCCACTTGCCCCAGACGCCCACTTGTCCCAGACGCGCAGACTCAGGGGCGACATTTTCTCTCACAGCAGGGTGTTTTCCTGTTCCCGAGGTCAAGGACCTCGAAGCCCGGGGCGGGGAGGAGCTGGCGGAGGGCGCCAGGCCTGGCGGGCCTCTCACCGGGGTGGGCGGCCCCGGGCTCGTTCGGGGTGGACGCAGCAGACCAAGGCCCGGCCGGCAGCCGCCTCGCGGGCCCCCTGTCCCTGGTTCGCTCGTAGGTTTCACACGAGCATGTGAGTTGTCTTGGACAACGCAACCTCTTGGGTCTGCTTTGCCACAGTGCTGGCCTGACCCTGTGGGGCCTTTACGAGACTCGTGGGAGGCGCTTTGCCGGTGGGGAGCGGGAGTCTGGGGTCAGCTTGGGGGCTGGAGCCCAGGCTGGGGAGGGGACAGCTTCCGCCCGCCCGGTCGCCTGGCCCAGAGGCTGGGCACAGCCTTGCCGTTCCCCGGCAGCCCAGCGCGTG